GGTACTTTTTTGCGTTTTTTGTGAATCCACCAAAGACCACTGTGTAAATTATCTTTTGGGAGTGCCATTTGCACCTGCTGTTCTTGCGAAAATCCACAAGAGGCAACTGACTGACCCACCCTCCTCCTTCCCGAAACCCAACCAATAGTGTTTTCAAAAGCACAGTTTGACCTGCCCACCCACTTTCCTAAACCCAACCGTACCCAACCCTCGTCTGATTTTTTTTACCATGTTTTCAGATTTTACCACATTCTTACCCTGTTATTTACTTGTTTATTTTATTTTTTAGTTTCTGTTTTAGTCTTACCCACTTTCTTGAACCGTTTTTCGCCATACTCAAACCCCTTCGTAGAGGTAAACTCTACTCTGCATGTAAGTCTGCTGACATACATGGCAAGCTAGTGGGCAAAAAGTAAGCATAAAAAGGAATCATTCGTATCCGTATCACTCATTTTAAAGACGTGCTTCAGGCTAAATAATTTGCGATGTTCAGATATGTATATAGGGCTATGTTTTCAAAATAAGGTTTTGTTGTAACCAAGCGCAAACCTCCCGCTCTCTTTCGTAAACAAATAGGGAAGTAACTGAAACTGTAAATTATCTAAATTTTGCTAGTCCTGACTCCATAATAGAGCACATTTCTATTGACCCCACTGTTAAAAATGGCCAACTTCACAGCAGAAAAAAAGGTGTTTGTACAGCCTGGTACAAAGAATGATTTTGGTTCATAAAGCTAATATTACCCTTCATGACAACTGTGAGGTGGTGAATTATTTTATAACTCATCTGTTTCGTTTATATTAGGTTATATTATGTCTGCATAATTTAGGGAGTGGCCACTTGAGTGAGAGCTAGGTCTCGCTGGTTGCAGTCACTTCACTCAGTTGATTCTGGCTGAATAGCTGCTGAACTCTGCATATACTTCCTATGTTTGTTTTGTTTTATGTGGTTTTTCACAGTCTTTTTGGAATTATTTCTTACAATTATCAGATAATATGGCATGCTGTGTGCACTTAATTGTGCTCACAAACCATTTACGTGGCCTTCATTTCCCAGGTAAGTGAAATTATATAGTTGTATACCATCTTTATAAATGTATTTTTTTATTTAAAATAATTTATCATTTATAAATTTCCTTAAAATTTGAATGCAGGCCAGGGGTGTCCAAAGTCGGTCCTGGAGGGTCGGTGTCCTGCTAATCTTAGCTCCAACTTGCTTTAACACACCTGCCTTGAAGTTTCTAGTATACCTAGTAAGAGCTTGATTAGCTTGTTCAAGTGTGTTTGATTAGAGTTGGAGCTAAACTCTCCAGGACACTGGCCCTCCAGGACCGAGTGTGGACAACCCTGCTGAAGGCTATAAAGCAGTCATCTGAAACATTGTCATACAGTGTTATGCCTGGATTTCATAAATAGCCTTGCATTTACTAGCACAGACTATATTTAAAGTATTGGGAAGTAGTTAGCTTTTTCCTCCTGTAGAAAAACGTCATAAGAACAATGTTTAGTGGCTTATTGTGTAACATCAGTGTTTTTAAAAGTCTAAACACTTTATTATTTACTAGTATATAGTATACAACCAAGCACATATGGTCAGAACACAAGCGAGTCCCAGGTAATGAAGCATTAAGCATTTCTCCCAAAGAAAAGCCTGTATAAGCAAAACACTAGTAGGCGTCTGTAGCTCCGCTCACGCTCCGCCTCTTTGCCCTTGTTTTGTATCCCCTGATCAGTGCTATGATGCGCAAACAAAATGGAGATGGTTGGCTAAGCCAACTGGTAGATTCTTTTGCATTCTTCAGAAACCAATGTGTGACGTCACGGATACTACGTCTATATCTTTTACAGTCTATGGTTGCAGCATACAGTACAAACATAAACAATGTTTTCAACCACATCTTTTTTAATTTGTGTTACACAAACTTGTAAATGACAGAAGCACTTTGATAATGTGGGTTTTAAACACTTATAGCAATTAAAATTAAAGTATATTGACATTTTTATGATTGTAACACATGCATGTCCAGTTATTCGAAGTTGTGGCTGTTTTAAAAAAAATATTTTTTTTATTCATTCAAGCCATTCAATCACAGATGTTGACAGAAGTCTTTATGAATTTCATTTAGCTTAAAATAATCTATTTTTAAAATAGATTTTTGACAAAAAATGAACATATTTTCATAAATAAATCATGCCATTATGTTCAGTTCTCTAATGTTTTTCTCTGAAAAATTATATTAATAAATAAATCAAAAGCTGTGACTCTCATTTTATCCAGAAGTGAAGCTGCAGTGCACCTCTCAGAACACATAACATACACATAAAGATCATTTTAGATGTTTAATTCATATATGGAGGATTTAGATGAGGGCTTAATGAACTCATTTCTGGGAAATCCTCAGATTGCCATGTTTTGCCTGTAGCTCATAATTAGCCTGTGGGCATTCAAACTCATTTTGCCAGCAGGGGTTACATTGAATAAAACATTTAAAATGTAACTTATACAAGCTACATTTGTATGTGTTCATCTATTGCTGGAATGATAAACCTAGCAGGTGTGTGATTGGTTGCAGCAGCATCTGGTGATGCATCATTACACCTTCGATGTATTAATATGCGTTTAGAGTAAAGTCCTGTCACTTGCAAAATGTTTTTCACAGGGTTCAGCATTTTATGGATCATAAACGTGGCCATTAAAAGGGGTCACACACAGGACAAGAGGCACAACACTGTTTCATTCATTCATTCATTTTCTTGTCGGCTTAGTCCCTTTATTAATCTGGGGTCGCCACAGTGAAATTAACCGCCAACTTATTCAGCAAGTTTTTACGCAGCGGATGCCCTTCCAGCCGCAACCCATCTCTGGGTTTCATGTCTTTAAAATTCAAACATATTGTTTTCTGAGGGAACTCACCAGCCCAGCTAAGACTGAGGATGTGGTTTAACGTCCTGCCATGCAAATTAGATGCTGTGTTGCTGGATCTGTTACTAGTGTTACTAGTGGTTATAACTGTCAACTTCCACTCTAATTCTATGATTTCTGCAACATGACCGAATTCAGCTATAAAGACAGAATTTTATGTATTTTTATTCATGTAATCTAAGATACTGCACAGTAAAATTAATCTAAAAATTGTTTCATATAATAATAATTAACAGTATAATAACCATTTAATTTGAAAACATTAACTAAAACAAACATTAAAACAGCAAGGACTAGCCTTAAAGGCGCAGTACACAAAAACCGCTACCCGCTGCTCAGTGTTATAAAATTGAAAATTATGAAAGATCTAATAAAAAATCTGAAGGGTGTTTTGAGCTAAAACTTTACAGACACACTCAAAAATATATATATTTATTTACTCGTTCAAACTACTTAATTAAAATGAGCTGGAACAACACAATTCTTTAGATTTCATTGGGACAACTTAATTTTTTTATGTTCAATCCACATCAATTTGTTAAAAGTGTTAAGTTAACTTCATTGATTTTTGTTGGGACAATATGAATGAATTGTGTGCAACCCTGCCTTTTTTACAGTGCACATTCTGGAGACACAAAAGACTTATTAAATAATATAAAATAAATATTACATCTGGAAAAAGGGGGAACCTAGGTGCCCTTTAATGCTGAGCACTCATGCTAACTTCAATCCCTTATGCTCAAAAAGTATACATGTATACTTGTATACATGGTTTACATGGACTCTTTATAGCTGTAATGTATTTAAAACTACTTCTAATATGGTCCTATGAAACCTGTGGCAAATTTTGAATTTCATAAGAAGGGGGAGAAATTATTATAATGCTTAAAAAAATAATTCACCCAAAACTGAAAATTGTCTTCACTTACTCAGCCTTCACTTGTTCCAAACATGTTTGACTTACTTTCTTCTGTTGAACACAAAATATAATATTTTTAAAGCAAGTGGAAAATAAATCTTATTTTACTCTCATGATGACTATCAATTTGGTCCATTTGAAAACATTTTAAAATTTAAACACGCCAAGCAACATTGTGGCAATTTTAATCCCTGTTTCGGAACAAGCCAGTCTATCTGCAGGGAAAAAAGCACTTGTCATACAAGAAAAATAGTTGAAGTAGCAGGTATTATTCAGCGTTCAACATACATTAAAATGCAACTTTATGTCCAAAGTGTGATGAAAATTAGCAATCACTTAGAGAAGATGGGCACTACAGGGGCTAAACCAATTTAAACGGGGGCTGGTGCCCCTCTGGCCCCACCCCTAGATGCAATTGGTTCACTATAACAAACACATAACAAGAAATCTCATGTAAAGAAAGTTGATCTAAATGTAACTTCCACATTCATGCTCATAGCTGACTTTAATTGCTACATTTATGGTAGCTTTAGTTTTATCATACAGGATTTAACCTTCTTTGTGGTGTAATTTGGTCTATTTTTATGGCATTTTTAGGACAATACTCTGCTAATCTCCTATCTGAGCCTCAGTAACAAAGCAAAACACATGGATTTGTGCCAAAATTGGATGCACAACCTTTGACATGAGCAAGCAAACGCGTGAAGAGCATTTCCTCCCTTTTAAAATTTAATAACCTCTTTTTGCTATCCAAAATAAGTAATGTTATATGGTCAGATGCATTATGATTTTCCCTGCAGTCTGTGACCCTATCAGAACAAACCTGTGACTCAATATCAGGTCAGGTCGCAACCTACTATTTGAAAAGCGCTGAATTAATGTATAAACACAACGCACATACACGACTGTATACACACTCTTGTTTTTCATTTCGCTGCTGATTCAAGCAGAGCAGAGTTTCAACATAAGAACAGTGATTCATGCTGGGAGGACAAATCTATAAGCAACACTAACATGGAAACCCAGAGAGAGACGGAGGAGGGGGGCAAGAGCATAGAATAAGACAGAGAAAAACAATACAGCCGGCTGATAGGATGAAATGAGCAGAGTCAACAGGGAGTAGCAGTGTGTGTGTGTGTGTCTGTGTATTTATACTCACAGGATTGAGCAGGACGGTCAGAAAGAGCTCTCCTCCTCGAATGCTTTTGTCTAGTTCTTTAGGGCCACCTGGATACTCTTTATAGAAGATGGTGTGTGTGAATAAACCGCATGTCTGACGGGGCAGAACCTGCTCAAACACAAACACACACAGGCAGCAGTTTAAGGTCTCAATACAGTTCAAGAAAAATCAATGAATGAGCTGCTATGATATCTGGTTTGTTTGGAGTTGGTTTGAAATAACTTAGCCAAGTAAACTTTCTGAAAAAGTTTGCTCTGGCTGGTAAATACCTTTAACTACCACTGGCCTGTTTATTATATAGGTGGGTGTGGCTTCTTTAAATTGTAAATCATTTTCACTTTACAAACAATAACACTGATGAGCTGCTTCGTAGTGAAACAATTTTAATCAAAACCCACAAGGACAGATTTTATAAGTCAATAATCTTCAAATCTTCTATCTCTTTAATTCTTTTGGCTGGTTCTTACAGCACTCCCCACCTGCCTACCCAACATTAGCATAGATTAGGGAAGTTATTTTGCCTCTCAATGCATGAATCTGCTATATATACATGGCCCATTCAACCTCCCCTTGCATACTTCCATCGTGACAAAAAAATTATGTAGAGAATTTCTTATTTTTTATTCTTCCTTCAGAAAGTTTGAAAAATTTGTAAATATTCTAGCCGACAATATTCATTTTCAAAGGTCTTATTCAGAAATATTTAGGATGTGATTTTTGGCTTTGTGTCTGTGACTTTTATGTCTCTACAACAAACTAACCATGCATACCTGTATATATTTTTATAATGCAAGCACATACAGTTGAATTCAGAATTATTAGCCCCCCTCTCAACTGTTTATCATTTGCCCAATTTCTTTTTAACATTTGATTTTTTCAAGACATTTCTAAACATAATAGTTTTAATAACTCATTTCTAATAACTAAATTATTTTATCTTTGCCATGATGACAGTAAATACATTTTTACTAGATATTTTTCAAGACACTTCTATACAGCTTAAAGTGACATTAGCTTAACTAGGTTTATTAGGTTAAGGCAGTTAAGGGTAATTAGGCAAGTTATTGTATAACGATGGTTTGTTCTGTAGACTATCAAAAAAATATATATAGCTTAAAGGGGCTAATAATTTTGACCTTAAAATGGTTATTAAAAATTATTTACTGCTTTTATTCTAGTCAAAATAAAACAAATATTCTCAGACATATTGTGAACATTTTCTTGCTCTGTTAAACATAATTTGGGAAATATTTAAAAAAGAAAAATAAATTCAAAGAAGGGCTAATAATTCTGACTTCAACTGTACATCCATCTTTGAGGCATATCACGGTTATGTTATGACTTTTACCACATGACCACTGTACCACCTCGGGTCTATAGATTCATTTATGCTTAAAGGCACAGTATGCAATTTTTGTTTCTAGAGTGCATACTCATAATGAACAAAAGGTTTATTTGATTAATTCGGCTGTGTGTGTGAAATTATGGGAGTTGTCTTCTTTCAAATGGACTGCAGAAATCATCCTCACAGATGAACGTATGGTATTTAAAATTTATCATCATGTAGTATGAAGCCTTCATGTAGTAAGCCTTTTGTTAAGGCTTTTTAATATTATTTTATTAAAGCAGCAGAGCTTTTATTATGCCACAGTCTACCACTTCCGGTCTTTCTAGTCATGATCATGTGGGGCAAACTTAGCAGTTTTATCATTTTAAATACATTTTAGGATTCTGTTACAGGGTATATGCAGGAATCCTAAAGGTAATTTTAATACCTTTTTAAGGCTTTTTAAAGACCTGTCTAAAGACCTTCTTAGAATATTTTAAAACCTTATCACCACTTTAAGTTCTAAGAAGTATCAAACCTTTAACCTAATAAACAGTTGCTAATAAACAGTTGTAGTTAAATAAATCAATGGAGCACAACCATGCAACAGAACTCAGATAAGCTCGAAAAAAAAACAAAGCTTGAAAGAATAAATTACACAGGCTTCAGACACTTTTTAAACTAGTCTTTCTTCATCCAGGAGTACGTAAACTCACATTTTCCCATTTTGCTGTTTGTTTTACTCTATGGTTTCGCTACATGTGGAGATCGTCACATCACCTTCTGCGTTTGTCACAAATTACTTGACATCACCAGGGTGGAGGAGCTTGTCCGGACGCGCCCCAGCCTGAACTAATTGGGTGGATCGAGCACGCCATTGTTAATATTAGAAGAAAAAAATATATTTTTATGCTTTTTTGTAGTCAAACATTTTGGACAACGCTTGAATAAAAATTAAAACCTTGTAAAAACGTGATTACCTTGTAAAAGACTTTTTAATACATTTTAGGGGCTTTCATTTTCTCATAATTGATTTATCAGCTTTAAATACGTTTTAAGACCCCACGGACACCCTGTGTTTTAATGCTGCTAAGTTATAGTGCAGTCTAATAAAATGCACAACATTTTAAAGTGTCTTTGATGTTTCCCTGTTTTCTGTAAAACCAAATCGAATATTGATGGCATGGCAAAACAGGAGAACACAGTCTGTGTCACTACTTAAAATGGCTTATTTATCTGGATTTCAACATTCTTTAAAACATTTAGCATAAATACACAAGTCAGCAAAATATATAACACCTTCCTAGTATTTTTAGGCTATTGTAATGAAAAAAAAAAAAAAAACTAACACGATGGGCAATTGGTGTTTAGGCACTAAAAGTATTGCCAGCTGAATTCAAAGTGTAATCCCATTAACATATAAAGATGGAGTTAGATTATGGCAGTTACAGATGTTGTATGGTGAAATAGAGAAGAAATATAATCAAGTAATAGTAATGAAGTATAAACCTATTTGTTGGTTATCTCATACTATAATTTTGACGACTTTAGTTAAACATTTGACTTTTTATCAGCTCTTACTGTATGTCATTAAATCTATATTCAGGTATTGCTTGAAGACAACTTCACATAGAGTATATAGTCATTCATTCAATTCCTGTCTAGATCAGTCAAAGAAAACAGAATCATATCTCAGTGCGAAAGCTCTGAAAGCTTCAATAAAATATGTGACAAACGGGCAAAGATAGACAAGAAGAAAAGAGAAAGAGAACAAGGAATATACTGTGCCTCAATGTGACAAAATTACTACTTGACAACAACAATAAAAAAAAACCTCTTCTGTCTCCTTTCCGCCCTCTTTTCCCCAAGCTCACTTCTCCTCTTAACTGTAAAACATGTTACTGATGTTATAATGCTATAGCTTGTCAAAAGAATTTCTCTTTTCTATGTAATTTACAATGAATGTGGACTGAGGCTTTCAGGTTTCAATGTACTGTAAAGATATGAATGTATCATAGCTTTGTCAGGCTGTCCTTGAGCATTGTGCGAAGAACAGACTGAAGTCCAAGTTCACTTTTCTGTGGGATACAATATACTACAATGCAGAAATCTTGGACTACTTTTATATGCGCTATATATACTTTTTGTGTGTGGTCTGTGTGTGTTTCCTTTTTTAGGCTTGAGGCATGAAAGTCTCAGTTGTAGTAATTGTGTCTGAGTGTAGAAAATACATTATTCAAAAATCCTCTTTTCTAAAAAGCAATAAAGTAAACAACATATTTTATTTAACTTTTTTAATATCCAATTTTTCCCTCACAGCAATGAGATTAAATAAAGACAATATTTTTTTTATTTCTTGAACATTTCTCGTTATACTCTTTCAAGAACAAATTATCTAAGCTATCCCAACCATCTCAATGACTTTATAGCTTAATAATAATATTTTATGCCAACATTTGTTTCTATATTGCTTATTTAAGCGATTTCGGGGTCAATTTAACATCTGAGACAAAGTTACTTAAAGAAGAACAAAACTTTTTGCTAACGGAATGAGATAAATACGCTACCATTCAGAATAGGGTCAGTCATAGATTCATTCATTCATTTTTGGCTTAGTCTCTTTATTAATCAGGAATTGCCACAGCGGAATAAGCCGCCAACTTATCCAGCATGTGTTTTACGCAGCGGATGCCTTCCCAGCCACAACCCAGTACTGGGGAACACCCATACACTCTTGCATTCATACCCACACATACACTATGGTCAATTTAACTTATTCAAAGCTCTATAGTCTTCTTGCTGTAAGGAGATAGAGCTACCCACTGCGCCACCGAGTCACCCTGCGGTCAGTCATATTATTTTAAAGTAAGTAACACTATTATGTAACAAGGACAATTTAAATTGATGAAACTTGACAATAAGACATTTACAGTTTATATTATTTTGGGATTATATAGCTACAGGTCAAAACACAGGAGACTTGTGGAGTTACTGTAGAGTTTAACCATAACGGAGTTGATTGTTTGCATGTTTTTAAGCCCTAAGAGAGTTTCAGGCATTCAGGGACAAGCAACTTTTCCATTTGTAAATCAAACTTTTATTGTTTCATATAAATATTTTATTTTGAGGTTTAGATTTGTCAAATAATATTTAAAAAAGATAGTAGTTAAGTTAAGAACTTAAGTTAAAGTTATTAAAAACTGATAACAACAATGCTTATCATCACTTTAAAGCTGCAAATATCATTTTTATTTTTTCTCCTGATTAATTAAAAGTCAGATAAAAAAAAAGATAAAACAAACAAGATTTTTGTATAGCCCAGACTATCACTTATAATGATTAAACTTCTGATAATACTCAGCTTGAAAAATATAATTTTTAAAGCAGCCTGGAAAAAGACAGACTTCACAATTGTGCATCCAGCCTTATTTGCAGGATTTCACTAATGATGTGTTAAGACTGGAAAAAAAGTACAGAGACCATGGTTGAGTATTTTTTGTTTAATAGATGCTGAGCCTATTGCTAAATATCCTTTCTCGTAAAATATTTTACTCTTACACACCTGTGATAAATAGATGGATAGTAAAATTGAAAAACAGCCACTCACTTAAAAGCAAATTACCCTGCATATTGATATCAGGTCCTTGACTTGCAAAAAACTAGATCAGGATTAATTAAACAGTTCTTTCCAATGCAAACAATTCAGCACATCCACTGTGGACAGCACCTTGCACATAAGAGGGTAGGGAAGGGGTGCTCAACCATGTTCCTGGACATCTAC